GGGAGGGGGCGCCGCCGCCGCCGGGAGTGTCCCTGTTTTCCCTTGGGAAGGGGGGGGGGGAGGTGGCGTTGGGAGTCGTCGTCGTGCAGCCGGTGAGGGGGCGCCTTAATGTCACGAGACAGGCTTCGTTGAGGGCGACCCGGGTCCTCTCAGCACGCTGGAGGAGGCCCCAGCCGCGACGAGAGGAGCAAGAGGCGCGGCGGGGATGAGCCCCAGCAGGGAGAGAGAGGCGCCTGCGTGTGCAGGGCATTCTGGGGAATGTAGTTCTCTGAAGCAGAAACGCACCTGGGGCGGACTGTCTGGCGCCGCGTCCCTGCCGCCCGGATCGGTTCTGCAAGCATCGCTCCTTAGGAAGCAAATCGTCCTTTTTGGATCTCTAGCTGCGACTGGTCAAGTGGGCCATAAGAGCTTGTGCCACCGTAGAAATGTGTTAGACCCAGCAGTTCGGAAGCAAGAGGTGGCAAGTGGATAAATAGGGACCGCTTCGGTGGGAAGGGAACAGCGTTCCTCTGTGCGCCTCGGTGTTTAGTCATGCCGGCCACATGACCACGGAAACGTCTTCGGACAGCGCTGGCTCTTCGGCTTTGAAACGGAGATGAGCACCGCAACCCTAGAGTCGGACTCGACTGGCTTTCGAGCAAGGGAAGATACCTTTACCTTTAGAAAGCAGCTAGTTAAAACATGAATTTATCCATGACCATGGAATGAATGATGAAAGGTTAAGATATAAATGAGCAATTATGTTATACAACAAAGCATTCTGATATGCAATGCTTTGGGTTGGATCAGGCCAGCTTTTTCACCTAATTCAAGCCAGTTCCCCTCCTTATTACTGGCCCAGTTCTACATGGCTTTTGTCCATGCAGGTCCCATGATCCCAAACATGGGCTTGTTAGTGATCAGAATAGTCCCTTGGCTCCCATTTTTACCAGTGGAAAATCAGGTTGGATCCAACCCTTCGTACTTTCACCAAGACTTGCTGTGAGATCTGTCATAAAATGATTTGAAATGGACATCAATTAAATGTCTAGGGATTTGTTAAGCCCCCCATAAGTGTATTGCGTTGCATTGCCTTTAGCCCTCACTGTTCACATTTTCCCCCTCTATGGCCATGTATATGTGTTAACTGCTAATGTCAGTTACACTCAGTGGAAGTGGACTCTAGCTCATAATACATCTGTTAACCCTTTAGGTACTGCAAGCCTCCTTTTTTAACCTAATAATGCGTGGTCCCTCAGAATTAATGTCCATGCAGATGTGCAAAGGATCAGACAGAATGTCATCAAACACTAGATATGGTAAATATCAGCCATGGCTTCTGGTTATAGCACATGCATCACCTCTTCTTGGGAGCTAGAAAACAAGATTCCATCTGCCTAGCAATGTAAAAGAAGTCCATGCAAAAGGCAGTAAAATCTAAGATCTCCATTTAAAAAAAAATAACAGTAATGCAGGCAGTGTCTAAGAATGTTCACCCAAGTACAGGCATTACTGACTCCATGACTTCAGTTGTGGAATTGGTGTTTGCTAGTGAAACATTTGGGCATTTTCTAGAAGAATTTGCTACACTTGAGTTTAATAACCCCTGTTTAGTGCATGCTTGGAGAAGAAGGCCTTTCACCAGTGTGGGAGCACTTAGTTCCATCATAGCTACAGATGACAAGGTGTCCTGCCAAGGCAGCATTGTGTCTCATAAAGTTTGAACAAAGCAGTGATTAAGCTGGGACTAAGTTAATGAGCTCAGAGGCCAAGCGTGTTGTGATAACCTGACCCAGTAAGTTTGCCTGCCGAAGCAAATGGACTTTGACATCTCTGTCATCAGATGGCCTGTGTACCTGTGAGCTGTTGATCAGCATGTCACCTTTTAGGTATGTATTAAGTCCCTCTTTAGAAATGATCAAAGTGTCAACCCAGTGTGCTGCAGCAGTGAAAAAAGCAAACTCTGTATTAGGGATTATTATAAAACAGCTAATATTGTAATGCTCCTGTATAGAACTATGGTGCGGCCTCATCTGGAATACTAAGAACATAAGAGATGCCAATGTTGGATCAGGCCAAAGCCCCATCCAGTCCAACACTCTGTGTCACACAGTGGCCAGAAATACCAGGTGCCATCAGGAGGTCCAGCAGTGGGGCCAGGACACTAGGAGCCCTCCCACTGTTGAGGCCCCCCCCCAGGCACCAAGAAGACAGAGCATCCCTTGCCCCAGAGCCCGTATCTATACCTTGTGGCTAAGAGTCACTGATGGACCTCTGCTCCATATAAGAACATAAGAGACGCCAATGTTGGATCAGGCCAAAGGCCCATCCAGTCCAACACTCTGTATCCCACAGTGGCCAGAAATACCAGTGCCATCAGGAGGTCCACCAGTGGGGCCAGGACATTAGAAGCCCTCCCACTGTTGACCCCCTCAAGCACCAAGAAGACAGAGCATCCCTTGCCCCAGAGTCCCTATCTATACCTTTTGGCTAATAGCCACTGATGGACCTCTGCTCCATATCTATATATCTAATAGCCAAGTTGCCCCCGTGAGCAAAGTTCCCTCTAAGCCGTGGAGTCTTGTGAGCAAAAATTCTACTTTGTGAGCTACTGGCATTAAAGTTGTGAGCAAGCAATTTGGCTACTGCATTAAATTAGTTTGCTCTGAAGCCATCCTTCCTGAGCTAAGACAGAAATGTGTGATTCCAACCCTTTTATCATTCGAGTTGCCCTTTTCTGCACTTTTTCCAAAGCTATAATATCCTTTTTAAGGTGTGGTGACCAGAATTGCACACAGTATTCCAGATGAGGTCGCACCATTGATTTATATAGCGGCATTATGATATTGGCTGATCTGTTTACAATACCCTTCCTAATAATCCCCAGCATAGCATTGGCCTTCTTTATTGCAGTCACACACTGTCTCGACATTTTCAGTGAGTTATCTACTACAACTCCAAGATCTCTCTCTTGATCTGTCTCTGCCAGTTCAGACCCCATCAATGTGTATTTATATTTAGGATTTTTGGCTCCAATGTGCATCACCTTGCACTTGGCCACATTGAACCCCATTTGCCATGTTGACGCCCACTCGCCCATCTTTGACAGATCCCTTTGGAGTGCCTCACAATCCTCACTGGTTTTCACCACCCTGAACAACTTCGTATCATCCGCAAATTTAGCCACTTCACTGCTTACTCCCAACTCCAAATCATTAATGAACAAGTTAAAAAGCAGTGGACCAAGTACTGATCCCTGTGGTACCCCACTGCTTACCCCCCTCCACTGGGAGAACTGCCCATTTATACTCACTCTCTGTTTTCTATTAATTAGCCAGTTTTTGATCCATAAAAGGACTTGTCCTTTTATCCCATGATTTTTGAGTTTACTTAGGAGCCTTTGATGAGGAACTTTATCAAAAGCTTTCTGGAAGTCAAGGTAAACAATATCTATTGGATCCCCCTTGTCCACATGTTTGTTCACCCCGTCAAAGAACATTAACAGGTTAGTGAGACAAGATCTTCCCTTACAGAACCCATGTTGAGTCTGCCTCAATAGGTTAACCTCAATAGGTTAACTGTACTGTGTACAGTTCTGGTCGCCGTATCTCCAAAAGGACATTGCAGAGCTGGAAAAAGTACAGAGGAGGGCGACTGAGATTAATAGGGGTTGGAGCACCTTCTCGATGAGGAAACGCTGAAGAGTCCGGGACTTTTCAGTCTAGAAAAGGGACAACTAAGGGGAGACAAGATAGAGGTTTATAAAATTATGCATGTCAGGGTCCTTAGCCAGGTTACTCAACACAGGGCTTCATGAGAAGATAACTGTTTATTGGTAAATCCAGAACTAGAGACACGTGTACAGCTTGTGTCAGGAATGGCCGCCAATACTAGGGCCTCTGACTTACACTAGAATCAAACATCCCCCCCAGTAAGCATGAGCCAATGGATAAATCTCGTGCGCACGGGCAAAGCAAGCAGGCAAAGCAAAAGCCGTTAACTTTCCCAGCCGAGTAAAACTGCAGCTGGAGCATCTACAAGGTCAAGCATAAGACAGCAAACAGTTGGTGAGCCAGGGAGAGCTGAGACAGAAAACGGGAGGGCCACCCCTCCACATTCCAGACCTATGACAGGGCTACCTGACAAATATTAGAACCTGAGGGCATCCAATGAAACTGTTGGGCAGTAGGTTCAGGATGGACAAAAGGAAATACTACTTTACACGATGAGTGATTAAAATGTGGAAGTTGCTGCTAGAAGATGTAGCATTGGCCACAGGAATAAACAGCTTTAAAAAGAGATTAAATAGATTCATGGAGGATAAGTCTATCAATGGCTGCTAGCCATGGTGACTGAGGGGAACCTCCACATTCAGAGGCACTAATCCTCTAAATCTCAGAGCCAGGAGGCAACATCAGAGGAAGGCCTCAGCCTCTATGCCCTGTTGTTGGCGGTCCAGAGGAACTGGTTGGTCACTGTGTGAGACAGGATGCTCGACTAGATTGACCATTGGCCTGATCCAGCAGGGATATAAATGGGAAAATAAATAAAATAACTAAAAACACAGTGCCTGTTGCCACTGTTTCCCAGGTATTCTTGGTGCCAAATTTGTATAAGCTAAATAAGCTAAATAAATTCAAAACAGTCAGATTCCCACATACATGGAAAAAACAAAACAGGCATTGTTGAATGGAGATGTTGTCAGACCACTGAGAGGGGAAGGGGACTCATGGAAGGATCTCTCCAAGGAGTCCAGGAGTGTGCTGAGAGATCTCAGCCTTCCCTTTCAAAGATTTCACAGGTGTGATTGTGGTTGTATGAAGAATTGGCCTTCCCAGATACACAGGCAAAAATAGAAAACGAAAGGTGAATAATTTGTTATGAAAAATTTAAATTACTTGAGCAGATTTTCATGAGCTGCTCTCTCTTCCTGACAGAAGAAGAGGAGAAGAGTAGGTTTTTATACCCCTCTCTTCTCTGCCTGAAGGAGTCGCAGAGCGGCTTACAATCGCCTTTCCCTTCCTCTCCCCACAGCAGCCACCTTGCGAGGTAGATGAGGTAGATGGGGCTGAAGGAGTTCTTAGGGAACTGTGAGTGGCCCTGGGCCACACAGGAGGTTTCATGTAGAGGATCGAGCCCAGATTAGAGTCCGCCGCTGCTAACCACTCTGACACACAAGTTATCTGAAATAAACAGCATTTTGTAGAACCCAAAAGACTAATAGGTTTTTATGCTTGCAGAGCTTTCATAAACTAGAGACTATTTTGTCCGATGTAGGGAGTGGCTCCATACCTGGCATACCAACATATGGAAGGTTATGGGGGAAACCCCTGTAAACAGAAGGGGACCAAAAGTCAGTTCCTTAGAGTGCAACAGGGCTCACTTTGTAATAGATACGCTTTACTAGGAAGGGTGCCTTGTGCAAAAGTCACGCTGGTAACCATGAAAAGAACTACTGGGCAGTCTGGTTTAGAATGACTCACAGCAATCCGGTTCCCTCTCTTCCTTCTCACCTTAACATTTTTTAAAACTGGAAGCAATACATTCATTCCACTCTAAAAAGAAAGCCAGAGGTAAAAATCAATGCTGGGAAATTTGGACAAGCCCCATCCCTGGAGAGGTGCCAGTGCGGCTAGTCAGGATCTTATCTTCTCTCTTAGCTGGGAGAATAAGGATACGAGAGAGAGAAGCCAGTGCTGGATCAGGCCAATGGCCCCTCCAGTCCAACACTCTTCTGTGTCACACAGTGGCCAAAAAGACCAGGTGCCACCAGGAGGTCCAGCAGTGGGGCCAGGACACTAGAAGCCCTCCCACTGTTGACCCCCCCCCCCAAAGCACCAAGATGACAGAGCATCCCTTGCCCCGGAGTCCCTATCTATACCTTGTGGCTAATAGCCACCGATGGACCTCTGCTCCATATGCTTATCTAATTCCCTCTTGAAGCCATCCATGCTTGTAGCCGCCACCACCTCCTGTAGGCAGTGAATTCCATGTGTTCATCACTCTTTGGGTGAAGAAGGACTTCCTTTTATCCGTTCTAATCCAACCGCTCAGCAATTTCATTGAGTGCCCATAAGTTCTTGTATTGTGAGAAAGGGAGAAAAGTACCTCTTTCTCTACCTGCTCTATCCCATGCATAATCTTATAAACCTCGATCATGGCACCCCTCAGCCGTCGTTTCTCCAAGCAGGGTGTCAGGTTCCTGGTTAAATCAGTTCTCAACACCAACCAGTTTGTAGAAAGCTAACTTTATTGAGACACATCTATTGTTAGGTCTGAAGTTAAATGTGCAAAGGTTGTAGATATAATGGGTTCAAGTAAAGGCACTAAAGATCAGGACCCAATCACCCCACGATATTTGCCCGCCAGAACTAACTGTCAGTTCTCTCCTCCCCCGTTCCCCCGTAGGCACGTAGTCGTTACCTAGTAAGGAAAACAGGATCACAGACATTTGAGAAGCCAGTACATTTGGCATCGCTAGGGTGACAAGCCCGGGCCCATCAAAGAAAGCGATAGAGGAACCTTCTCTCCCAATGACAGGCAAGCTGTAAAACGCAAAATGCGCAGGGAGTCTGACATACTGCCCCCCCCAAGACCTCCTACCCCTTCAGTTTGTGCGGATATATGTTATGGAATGCCCGAGTTAAAGAGGGAGTGCTAACATGTTTGCATTTCACCCACTCATTATGAGATTCATCAAAGTCCTTCCATTTAATCAAATAGTACAGTTTGTTTTGTATCAACTTAGATTCAAGTATCTCTTCCACTTCATGGTGAGGTTCACCATCAATCATCAGAGGAGGTGGAGTGGCTGGACGAGATCTCCACTTTTTCGGGCCCGGATCCCTTTTTGATAGACTGAAACGAAACACAGGGTGGTGAATATGCC